GAAGTGCTAAGGACATTATGCTTGTTCCTAGCCTTGCTTTAAGAATTATGTCATGTGAAGTGCATAAACTGTCTACCTAGCTCATAGCCTTTCTATTTGGTGGCCTAAAATAATTCTGGACAGAAATGTGAGTGCTATGTAATGTTGCATGCAGGACCATGACTCAACTAAGCAGTGTTACAGTGTAGAACTCATAATGCTAACACATCAGCTGAAGTCCAAATACTTTGGAAACCTCATAGTGCTAAAGGCTTTTGAATTTGTTTTTAGTGACATTCATTCCACCATAGTTTATTAGTGAAACTTCATTCTCTTCCCAAATGGATTTGGGTGTAGTATGATTAAATTCGGTCACTTAAACTCATGCTATTAGACATGACAAGAATATTTTCCACATATTTGAAATTAGATGAGATAAAATAAGTCTAGAGGTTGTGCCTCTTTATTGCATCTTTAAAACAGTGCTGTCTGGGCTCTTGCATCAGCTGGGAAACCTTGCTCTGAACCTGTAAGTTCTTACTGTGCAAGAAGCTGACAAGTTCAAATTCTGTCTGTAATTACTGAAGTGAAATATCTTGAAGTATGTCATTGAGAAATAGGGGGTTGTGGGAGAACAACAGGTGATGCACAGGCCTTGGAGCTGTAAAGCTGAAAGTTGTATTGTGTTAGGATGTAAAGCTTAGGTATTTGCTCCAGCAGATGGCTTGGGATGCTGAAAATCTGGTGGGGTCTATTATGTTTTTTAAATAAAAGCTGGGTTAACTTCCACATTTTCTTGAAGGCCTCTTCCAGCATACACATCATTTTCCAAAGATGTGGGATATCTCAAGAATGCTCTTAATTATTAGATTATCAATAAAAACAAGCCCAGTATTTTCTAATGCAATGTGTTTCTTTGCATATGTTGTTTATTTATCATGATGTGTGTCCCCAGGTAATGAGAAAGAGGGAGTAACATTTGTTTTAAGTCCTTCAAGGCTGTTTTAAAGTTTTGGCAGAAGTGTTACCTCCTTTTGTTTGGACTGTTTTAATTGCAGTACTTGAGTGCAGGGTTTAAAGATTGGCTGGCATTGAACACTATTATCCTGCTGCATCAAATTGTGCATATTTTGTCTGGAAACTGCAAGGGTGGTATTTCTCATGCAAATATAGTTGCTTCTGAAGCTATAATGAAGTTTGAGTTCCCTGGTCCAAAGCTGTGGAGTGGATGTTGCAACTCAGGCAGCTGATATTATCCTTGAAGCAGGTCAGCAGCAAGTCTGATCTGGTCAGCAAAAAGTCTGCTTTCTTTGGGTAAGAAAGCACAGTGATGGTCAGTTCAAGACCAGCTCGTGCATAGTCCTGCCAAGAGCACCTTGCAAAGGAGAGATCTCACTGATTTAAAGGTCATGACTTAATGGTGCGGTTTTAATTCAGGCAGTTGCGCAGAGTCTGGGCATTAAGCACTGGCTTAGGAACTCTCTCCCTCTTTTTAGCAGTTGGGATGTTGGGTGAAGAGATGCAGTGTAACTACTGTGGACTCGATTTGACCTTCGAGAATTGTTTGCCTAGAAAAAGTTTTTTTGTGTGTGAATCAGAATAATAGCACTTTTCACATGAAATAGAATATCATATGTTTGTGTATAATAACAACTGTGCCAAGTAACAAAGCCTTGTTACCCTTGCTCTTTTTATAAATTTAATACCATAGTTTAGTTTAACCACTAAGTACAAATAGTTCTTTTCATAAATATGTTTTTCTAGTAAAGTGTTCTTACATATTGAAATTTTATTCTTGTTAAAGTAATGTATTAATAATTACCTTTCTATTTTTCTGCACATGAATAAATCTGGAATAAATTGATAGTAGTTAATAGATTTATTCATCTAGTGCTCTATTTTGTGATTGTTAACTAGGAACTAACTGGAAGAAGTAAATTGTTTGAGTCTAGGAAGTTAGTGAGATGATACTGTCATTCTGTATTCATGTAATTGCAAAAGTCAAATTTGACACCGACCAAAGGATAGTGAGTTAATGTCAAATGCAGTGGATTATGACTTATAATGAATATTTTTATATAGTGGACTGCATATGAAAGTAAAAACCAAAATTAATTTCTTTTTCATAGCATTTTAGTAGCTACATCCTGACTTAAATACAGAGGTTTACTATAGGGGAAGGGGAGGGAAAATTATTACAGTGTGAATGAGGAGCACCTTGAGTTGAAAAGATTCTGGGTAAAGGTAGTATTCATAGATGCACCAGGATACATAAAAACTAGGAGATGATTAATTAGAGAGGAGAGTTAAATATTTCCATCATCATAGAGGGGGAAACTCAACATCTGCTGGTTATACTTTCTGCTAGCTAGCAAGGGGTTGGCCTTTTGTTAGATGTTCTTGTACGGCAAATAAGTATTTTGTATTAGGTACACCAAAACATTTTTTACACAAATGCACTCTAAGCCCAGGCTGCTTGCTGTTGGCAGATTAATAAGCAAGTGACAATTAATTCTTACACATACTGCAGTTGTTGTGGGGTTGCAGATTCAAAGCAATTCAAAGCAATTTCTTCTTCAGTACCAGATTTAAGAAATCAGAGTGTTTCTGCTCTCCTGGATTGTAGACATGGAATTAATTTTCTTGCTTTTATTGCGATGCTGACTTAGGATCACAGTCCAAGACTGTGGGTGTGTAGCATGCACAGAGTGCATGTGGAGGTGAATGACCACTCATGGACCTTTGTTCTTCCTGGCTTTTGTTCCTCAGTCCTGGAAGTCCACTGTCAGTAGTGCTGCAGCAGGTTCGGTTTCCAAAAATTAAAGAAGTTAAATACAGGCAAGGTATGATCTTGATTGCACTTCAGCATTATGATGCATGATTGTCATGTGTCTTTAATAGCTAGCTTGCTGTAATTAGAGAAACAAAAATGGGAGGGTTGAACTTTAGGTGTGTCTTTGCTAAGTTGTATATTGATTGAATTCTTGCTTTTCCACCTAATCCTCTGAGTAGCTGTTTCCCCTGTAAAAAAGAAAATTAGCTACTTAATCAGTTGTATGTCAGATTAAAATGAGGCTGTACTTGTTGCTGAGACTGACATAATGAAAATACTTCCTTAGTGTTATTACTTAGAGCTGGGGATTTAAATGTGTATAGGTCATGGGAAAGCAAAGGATTGTGAGGAGTGGTAATTTCTGTGTTACTGTAGTAAGACAGTCATTGACTGAGAAGAATGAAGAAGAGTCTCTATCTCATCTGGTCTTTTTAGGGTTCAGGAGAAAAGACGGAAGAGAACTTCAAGATAACTGGGTGGAAGTCAGGGAGGGTGTAACAGAATACTTAATTTTCAAAACTCTGTGAAGCCTGCAGTGGAACATGGAATAACCTAGAAGTGGCTGTGACAAAGCACCTATGACTTAACTGTAGGTCCTAAAATAATATATTTTATTTTCTGCTTCTCAGAGACCAAGAACAAATAATAGGATTTATTTGGTCTCAGCCTATACTATTCTTGAAATTACGGAAGGGTTCATGTGAACCTTGGATTACAGATTTATCATAAAACTGTATTGTCTGGAGAAAAATGGAACACCATAATGTTTCACTGTGGTTTGAGTATTCCAGTCAGTGAGCTCTAGGGTGCAGAATGACAGAGTGGTTTAGGCTGGAAGGGGTCATCATCTAGTCTAGTCTCCTTGTCTTGGGCAGGGACACCATCCTTTAGATCAGGTTGCTCAAAGCTCCTTTCAGCATGGCCTTAAGCACTGCCAGAGTCAGGCATCTGCAGCTTTTCGGGACAGCTTGTTCCAGTGTCTCAACACCACCCTCACAATAAAGAATTTCCTCTTTATATCCACTCTGAATATATATATATATATATAATATATATATATATATATATAATATAATATATAACTCTTTTAAGTTAAAACCATTGACCCTTCTCCTGTAACTACAGTTACTAGTAAAAAGTCTTTCTCCATCTTTCTTATAAGCTCCCTGTATGAATAGAAAGACTCCAGTAAGATTAAGTTGGTCCTGACTTAGTGAAACTCTTTTATTTGTGGGCTAATTTTTTACATTGTCATTTTCTGATATGTACTTAACTCTGCTTTGGAGGATAAATCATGTTAAAATTGTAAACATATTTGTATGGGCTTTCATAAAGATGGATCTTCTCTGCTCAATGTTTTCAGTGGACCTTTCCAGGTGAACATGTTCCTTCACCGTAATATCTTGAGGCTGATGAATTGGTGGCCATTTTTTCACTATGTCCCAAACTTTGTGCACTTAAAACTCAAGGGAGTAGTGCATTTTATTACTTTCTGATTGCTTCATTCACAATGTATTTGATATTTATTCTGTACTCCTATTAGTAGTTCTTTCTTCCCACCGTTATTGACTGACTGTATGCTCTCTTGCTGGTAAAATGATACAGAAGGAAGGTCTTCTACATAGCAAAGAAATTAATGTAAGCATATGCTTGCCAGATAGGAAAATTCTCTGCTACCAAAATGCCTTGGCCTTTTAGGTTGCCTGTAATAGATTCTCAAGTTTGGAAGAGTTATTGATAACTTCAAAAAGTTATTTGTAGTATCTTCTTGTTAATCTTCAATACCCATAAGGATGTTTGTTAAGCAATGAGATACCACAGAAGCCAGAGCTGTTCAGAAGTACTGAAGTTTTACTGTTGAATGGGAAGGAACTATTTACACTTGCTGGTAAATAGTGTCTGCTGCTTGGAAATCTTTTTACAGTTATGTTTTGTTGTTAGCATTAGGGTTTTGTTGTCACCTGCACTGATCTAAGTACCTACAGCCTTTGGATAACTCTGGATACTAACTGTCTCATTTTGTGGTGAATTGCTAAATTATTTTCCTTGGTTTTGGTATTTCACATCTTAAGGTGTATTTCTCATCTGTGTAAACAACAATATTTCAATTAAATAATAAATTTTATATCTTTAGTGTGGATAAATTTGGACCGTCATATAACATGTATGTTTTCTTTTCCTATTGCAGGTTATCCTCCTGAGAAACATCACATTTTGTGTGTAAAGAATATCTTGCTGAATTGCTGCAACTAAGTTTAGAATGTTACTTGACTTGTGATTCTGATGGAGGAATAACAAGAGCTCAGGCTGCTGCACTGGAAGACTTAACAGGAAATACAAAATGTCATCGAATAGGAGTCAGAACCCGCATGGACTTAAACAGATTGGTCTTGACCAGATATGGGATGACCTAAGAGCTGGAATTCAACAGGTTTACACCAGACAAAGTATGGCGAAATCCAGATACATGGAACTCTACACGTATCCTAGTGCCTATGATAGTGCTTTCCCCGCAGTGGTAGATTAGAGATAGCTTTTTTACTTTTTTAGACAGAAAATTGCTCCATAACTATTTCACTTTATGGCTTTTAAGAATGCATGGTTTTGTTTTGAAGATTGGCCTTTTCTATTTAATATTACTGGCAAATAGCAAGAACATTCTATTGTCTGGAAAACTGGCTCACATAATTATTAAGGCTACCTCTATATTTCAGGTTTGATTACTATTATCTTTAATAGAGCACATGTTTAAAGAGATTTTATTAAGAGGTCGAATTTTGAGTCCACAATGCACAGAAAGAAAACAGAAATTCCTCTTCTCTGTTAATCTCTGGCATTATGCTTCAGGTCTTACTGATAATCATGTCCAGTTACCTGGAAAATTTTCAGTTGTTGTTCTCTGTGTAATACTTCACTATTGACTTGATCGTGTAATTTTCCAGCTAGAGTGCAAATGTCTCCCGTGGATTTTGCTTTAATTCCTTGCCTGCATTGGAGAGCTATTTTCCAGCATCTCTCCATTCTGGGTGTTGCTATAAGATGCTGGTAGGGGCTTAACCTCCTTGTTCAAATGCACTGAGGTACTGTTTGGAAGATTGTAGGAAACTTATTTCTGTTGGGTAGTGTATAAGGACTTTTTAAAAACTAATGTGTAGGAGAAATGTGTCTCTTGTTGTGTTATAGCTTTGGTGTTTGACTTTAGGACTTAATTTTAGAAAGGGAGTTCTTTTTCATTTTGCCTGTAAGGTGGCATGTAAATGGATTCTATGACCTTTGTTTTGCATCTTTTGTTCTGCCCCAACTCTTGTAACCTTTTATTGCTTAGGAAAGTCAGCACTGCTTAAGAGGGTGGTGGTCTACACACTTTGCTGTACATATGATAGAAATGATGACCGAATACATTTCCTATCATTAAGTAGTTCTGCTGTTTTTCTCTATCAGTATTTAGAGTTGGGTTTTTTTAATGAAGTTATTATTCTGAACTAATGTCTTATAGGTGTTGTTGGCACCGATTTGGAATTGCAGAATATAAAATTTTAGTCTGTATTAATTTTTTGAAAGGACAGAGCTTGAAGGCTATAAACCAGAGAATTCTGTAGTTCCCTGGACTTTCTAAGGTGGTAGAAAAGTTTCTCTGTACATGTAATCTTAGCATCAACATGTAATCTTTTCTATCTGTGCCTGCAGAATCCATGTTTCAAGCCATGGTGGAAGATGCCCTGAGCAGCCTACTGTCTCTAGTATACTTCTTTAATTGTGATGGGAAGATGGAATAACATATGTTTAGGGTCAGTACTTTTCCTAAGATTTAAAATTAGTGATTTCTTGCAGCGCTAGGTTGAACATTGATTTTGACTCAGTGAAACAAGTCTGTAAAAGTTGAATGTCTGATAGAAATATGACATGCAGTCAAAGCTCTGAGAGTTTTTTCTTCTGAGTGCCATTAATATATTCTTGTTCATGAGGTCTGTTAAGCAGGGCAGCTGAAGACTAACTACTGATTATAATGGTAATGGTTTAACACTGACTTTTCCCCTCCCCTGATGTTCTCAAAGATGCTCAGAATGAAGCTGTAAAAGGGATATGCTGTCTATTAGTTACTCATTTCCCCCCTGCTTGTGCTTCAAGGAGTCGTTGGTACAAAAATAAGGACTGATTTTGTTAATTTCTTAAGTGAATTAATTTAGGGGGTAATTTTGGTACTTGGTTTGGACTTTTTCTCCAAGTGTTTGGACTTTAATATAATAGTTTGATAACTCAGAATATTTGGTACTGGTTAGGCTGAGTATTTAATCTCCTATGAAGATAGCAATGCATTTTGCCTCCTATACCGGGTACGTGTGTTCAAAAGTTGTGCTTAAAAGATTGCACCCCTTTCAAAGCAGTAACTGACATATTTGCCCAGTCTTTGTGAACAGCAAGTCTTGTACTCTGGTAGACTTTTATTTCAGGAAGCTTTGCTTATCAACCAGCTTAGTTTGGAAAGCAGAACAGCTGCAGATGAGTTTCAGTTGCAGCTGTAATTGGTCTGAAGATCAGCTGTACTTGGAAGAATGTCTTGACAATTTACAGTTTAGTCTTTCCTCATCCTCTTTCGTCCTCTTTCTCTCTTTCCCCATCCACTTCCCTTTTTTTTCTTGTCAGGATATTGCTCCTGAAGTGGATTTCATTTCATCCCTCTAATTTATAAGAGGGGAACCGTGCATATAAGCAAACCTGCCTTCAATCCTATATCTGTGCTCGATTTTTCAATCAAAATTGACTGGAGATGTAGATTTTGTTGTGCCTTGTTTTTAAGTACCTCTGGGAAAGAATAAGAATAGTTATGCAATTCAAGCAGTTCAGACCTCTGTCACACCTGCACTTGCTTTCTTTGTTTAGAGGGTCTCTGTGAAACGGTAAATTCAGTCTTTTAAGTACAGTCTGGAGCCTGTGCTTAAGGTGGGTTTTCTCCCCCTTCATTTCAGTGGGAGCAGAAACAAGGTGATTATTCCAGAAGTTTTCTAGATCTAAGAATATTGAAGAGGTGAAAAAAAATTTTGTTTCTGAATGGTTGTTGCCAAGTTCCTCATCCATACTTCTTGTAATTTAGATTTATTTGTGCTCTGATTGCAAGGTATCTTTTTTTTTGTGAGGTCAGATGATCATGTCTTTCCTCGTGCGGTTTGTTGTTTTGGTGTTTCATTTTTTACCCCTACATGTGAGATTCTTGAAAATGAAATCTAGATGTTTTTCTGTTCCTTACCCAGATATTACGTAATTTCTAGTCCTGAAGAGCCTAATCGTTCCTATAACAGTAATTAACATCATCTGACAACTAGTATTACAAGCTAGATCAAAATTACATGCCAAACATTGACTTCATGCCAAAAAGAGAAATAGCCAATAAAATTAACTAGATTTCTAGGAACAATTGACCTAACAGCACTACTAATATTGTGAGAGAAGGGCATGTTCACACTGTTTTCCATTTAGTGATTATTAGTTTGGAGGCTGTGATCCACAGGATTCGCTTGTAAAAGTCAGTGTTTAGGGGTATATGTATACAGAACATCTCCTGGTGGCATTTAGTCTGTTTGGAGGAAACTTCAATTAGTCTGTCTAAGAGAAAACCATACTTTTGTGTAGCAAGTTTTGAGTTTCTGTTTTGAATCATTGGTTGAAAACCTATTACTTAGTTTACTAGAATTATTCTTACTCATTTATATTGCTGTAGGCCACTTGTCTTTATAGCCACCTCTTCTTAACTCCATTTGGCAGTGATAAAATATTCATACATCTTGTGCTATTTTCTTCTCTTTTGGCAGAAAGTGATGTCCATTTTTTAAACTAATTGTGTGGCGAGCCTGCAATTTATTTTCCTCAAACCTCATAGTATGTGAGGATGAATTGGGGTTTTCTTGACATTTGTATTGAAAGTCAATGGAGAGAATGAAAGGGGTTTGTTACTTTTTTTGTTTTATATATTTAAGAAGATTCTCTGGCCAAGTAATAAAATGTCAGAAAACTTTGCTGTACTGTATCAAAATAGTGTATTTTTTCACAGTGACTTAGACAAAGAGCTGAGTAACTTTGCTGAAATGCTTACGTTTTTTTAGAAGCACACATCAACAATTTTCAGATATCATTGGTGAATGGAAAGATTAGTGGCGTGCTTCTCTGTTGTATGTGTGCACTCTTTATTTGAAATGCAAAAATTTTGACATAAATTCATGCTTTCACTACCCTGATGTACCAAACATAACCTGAGAAGCATTTTTAGGGATTCTTTTAAACAATCTAGATAATTTATGGCCATACAGAACAGACTAATCTTTTTGTCCAAATTTAATATTTAAAGAAAATTGGAGAAAAATTAGTTTAAAGCATCCAATTGCTATTAATTTATAACAGATTAGATTTCTATCTGCATGAGGATGTCTTAAAATGTTGTCATTGATAAGAAGAGTTTATAATACTGTGGAAGGTGTTATGTGGTTGTTTAACTAAGATGTAAATTGCAATGTCCAGATTGCTGTGTGTTCAGATTGGCTTTCAAGGTCTTTCAAATGTTATATACATAAAAATTACACTTGATTTCAACACGTTCCTAGAATACATTTGAGTAGTTGATTGGCATCATTATCATATAGGTCTTATGTGGAAATTTGAAGAAAGTGACTGAATTTATTATGACTTAAAATTTGCCTAAGTCTTATACCAGTAAATTGGATCTTAAAAATGTGTTTCTTACATTATTCCATTATTAGCCATCATTAGTAAATATTTTCAAAATAATTGCTTGAAGTTTGTCAAGATAGGTAAAGGCTAGGGTGTTCTGTCACGTTTCGTTATATTATGAAAAATCGTTGCTTATTGTGATTCAGTTTTGTTCACTTACTTTAACAAAGTGGTGGCTACTGAATATCTATTGGATCAAATGTAAGTAATTGTATATCAGAAGATCATTTTATAAATTGGGATTTTTTTTCCCTCACATATTAGCAAGTGATATAGGAAAATACTGTGTTGAACATTAAATAATTAAGTGTAGTATGCTTACACTTTAAAAATACAAGATGACTGAAGATAACCTGTGTGTTCATAAAATAGAAAGTATAAATATATTTTAACTTTTTTTTTCCCTGTGAGCAGATTCAGCACCAGTACTATATGTTGTCCAAGCAAAACCATGAAGCTCTTTTCCAGCATCCTTTGCCAAGGTCTTTTACTTACAAAAGATTGCTTCTACTGTAATCTTTTTTCCTTTTTGAATTCTTGTATTTTAGTAGCATTTTAGATCAGCAGATGCATATTAAAACTGTGAAAATATTTCATTTTCTTATCACATGAGTCTGTTGTTACCAGGCAGCACAGAATGTTCTTGTTTTTTTCTTTCTGAACAGATTATTATGCTCTTTCTATGCAAAAAAATACTGAGGTGTTAGGGCATGCACTTCTTATTTACATCTCAGACACTATTCCACTTTCTCTTAAGATTC